AAAATAGGAGTTGAGATTACAGATTTGCAGTCTTACGAAATGGCCACCGATAACTCAATGAAAGCACAAATGGAAGCATTGGAAATTAGAATTGAGAACCGATTACAAGAAGTACTTAATGATTTCAAAAAGGACTTACTAGGGAGCCTCAGTAAATTTCAACAATGTGGGAGTTCTACATTGCACAGATATGGAAATACTAGAAAAGGGCCCCAAGATTGTGACACAATCTACTCATACATGAAGGTGGATGGACAGCTCTAAAAAATTTATCAGACTTCTACAGTGTTGGAATATCAGAGTAGGTTTGAAAGATGATCAAATCAAGCTAGAGATTGGTCGGAACGATAACTTCTGGATACATTTATTGAAGGGCTTATTCCAGAGATCCGGTATGAAGTTAAGGCTCGTCAACCCCGTACTATGATAGCTGTGATCTCATTTGCAAATCTACATGAGAAAAAAATTAGCAAGGAAATATCAGCAAGGGGTTTGTATTATGATGAAAAATGGAGTATGGAGCACCAATGTAAACAAGGGCAACATATGATGATTGAGCCAATTGGAGAGGAATCGAAAGCTGAAGAGTTGGACTCCGATTATGAAGGTGTGGAAACTGATGAAGATATTGAAGCCATCACACATATAGTGCATGCATTGGCTAGTTATGCTAACCCACAAACTATGAAAATCGGAGGAACTTTGAAGCATCAACCTATCACTATTTTGATTGATACAGATAGCACTAATAATTTTATGGACAGGAAAGTTGCAGCCCAATTAGCCCACCACATTGAAGGCTGTGATATATTCAAAGCTGATGGACGGATTTTAACTTATGATAGCAAAGGCCAGGAATTTCTTGCAACGATTACTACACTTAAAGATCGACCTATTGCTTACACTGTCAAAAAGTGGAGACCATATTTAATTGATCAACGGGTTGTGATGCGTTGCAGATAGCCTATGACTGAAGTGCTAAAAGACAAGCTCCCCGAGATTGATGCTGCCCAGCCTTGAGGACAAGGCTGATTTGAAGAGGGAGGAACTGTTAGGACCCTTTTTCTGAGCTTTTGAATAATGTTTATTGAGTCTGTTTAGTCCATTTATTTATTGAGTTGGTTTGGTTCATTTAGAGTCGAGTAGAGGTTTATCTAATATTTATTTATTATTAGAGTTCAAGTCCTGATGGACTTTGGGTGGAACTCTATAAATAGGGATGTAACTGCTTCTTTTCAGTAATCTAGGAAAAATACTATTCTATCTTTTGACAAACCCTAGGAGGTTGATCCCCTCGAAGCGATCAAGGAGGGCCGATCCCCTCGAAGCGATCAAGGAGGCCGATCCCATCGAAGCGATCATTATCATCCCCATTTCTCCCCTTTCTTCAACGATAAGACTTTAGGGTCTTATCATTTGGTATCAGAGCGACGATAAGACTTTAGGGTCTTATCAATTGGTATCAGAGCCAGGTTAAGACTTTAGGGTCTTATCAATTGGTATCAGAGCGACGATAAGACTTTAGGTCTTATCAGACGCTTGACCTCCTTCACCCTCTCCTAAGGATCTGCAAGGAAACAGGGATATACGATCTCCCTAGGTAACACAATCTATTCTATACGCAGTTTTTTTTAGTTTCGCGAATTTTGCGCATCAATCTTCGCACGACGACGAACATCTCTTTGGAAATCGGGGATTTTGTTTTTCTTGTTCTTCCGCTGCGCATCTGATGTCGCCCCCAAGATTTCCAAACAGTGGTATCAGAGCCAGGTTGTTCGTGCGACAGATTGTGTTTTGAAGAAACTTTTGACGTCAAAATCGTTGAGGCAATAGCGAGAAAGGATAGCAACAGTTGCTGCCCTCAATCTGCATGCGTACAACATAGCCGCAAGCAGGCAGCACAAGGGCTGCGTCTGCAGCAGCCGGCCGGTGGCCTGCTTGCAGCAGGCTTGCGGTCGACGGGGCTGGCAGCCCGCAGGCAAAGGCGCTTGCGGTCGCTTCTCCCGCGGGGTGAGGCGCCGCAGGGCAGCGGCGCCAGCCGCCGTTGCTCCCGCGGGCGAAACCCCCCCGCAGGGGCGGCCGCCCGGGGGGACCGCGCCGCCTACGGGCGTTGCCCCGCGGGCAGAACCGCCCGCGGAGGCAGCGGCGCCCGCAAGGGCAGCACCGCCTGCGGGCTCTGTCCCGCCGGCAGAACCGCCCGCGGGGGCGCCCACCCGCAGCAGCAGCGCCGCCAACGGGCGTGCCGCCTGCAGGCGAGGGCAACGCCCTCGCCTTGCCGCACAGGCCGCCGCCAGCAGGGTGGCGACGGCGATGGCAGCAGGGGAGTAGGGCATTAGGCATTCTTGGGGAAAAAAAAAAAGACAGTTTTACCCAAATTCAAATTCAAATTCTATCCTTTTATCCAAATTACGAAAATACCCCTATGAATTCAAAAATTCCCTTTATATCCCTGATTTCATAAAATACTAATTAATTAAAAAGTTTAGTTGATTATTATTTTTATCATTATCTAATAGTCGTACATGATGATTAATTATACATGTGATGTATGATGTATGGACGGATGATCATCGACCGTGTGATGTGTGTACTTGTGATTATTATTATTGGGGTCTGCGAGCCTCCATTATATTTCTCATTTATTGTCGGGCCTGCGTGCCTATGATTAAGTTGTAATCACATGAGGAGGCACAGCGGGAGCGTGGATGCGATAGCAGGACCCACGAGACGGACGATCGCAATGCATGAAGATGCATCGAGATGTCGACGGAACTGACGAGGACGAGATGGACGATCATAGGGCATGGAGATGCACCGTTGCACACATAGATCTTGATGTGAGTGATTAGACCTATTGGCTCAGGCCTAATCACATTAGGTTGTGGTCCATGATCATCTGGTGTGATTGCTTATACACATACTAGATATGTATATATATTTGCATGCGATGTAGATATATATTAAATATGTATATGTGTGACATGTCATATTAGGAGATCAAATCATAGAAACTTTTATCTCGATAATATTAAGTCGATAAACGTGAGACAATTAGATTGACCCACGTGGCCTTCCATCGTTATAAGTAGGAACCGATTCCCGGTGTAGGTTGAGTTGGTCGAGTCCCTCGAGACTCACCTATATTGCAATTCGCTATCTTGCTTACGATATAGAGATGTCACCGGTGACCTGAGGACATGGTATACTTGGTCGAGTCCCTCAAGGGTATATCATCAAATCAGACTCATCTTGTAACGAAGGTGTTGACTTAACCGAGCATCATGGTTGGTCGAGTCCCTCGAGACCATGGTGATTCGGAGGCCGAACAGGACGGGAATCACAATGAGTTATGATCGGCAAGAGTTGCCTACCTTTTAGGCTTTGTGTGATTGGTCGAGTCCCTCGAGGTTACACTAAGACGTTGATTGGATCTTGATCCCCATTAGAAGTCTACCGGAGACTTCCGTTTCATGTGCTGACGGTGTCGTGCGACTTGTTAGTAAAATAGTGGGAGCATATTAAGATAGAAGTTCATATCTTGATAGTTTATTTCTTGCAAAATCTGCATGTTATTCATTTCTGCTGCATCTTTATTTTCGAAAAATGTTGCTTTTAAATCCCTTACGTGGCATACTTGATGTCAACCGCCTCACTGGTCCAAATTATACGGATTGGCTCCATAACTTGAGAATTGTTCTCACGGCAGAGAAAATCGTGTAGGTCCTTGATACAGTAATGCCTACGCCTGAAGAAGGGGCAAGCGAGGATGAGATCACTCGCTACGTGAAGTACATTGATGACTCCACTCTTGCTCAGTGCTATATGTTGGGCTCTATGACTCCTGAGTTACAGAGACAACATGAAAAGATGGATGCCAGATCCATTCTCCTACATGTCCACAAATTGTTTGAGGAATAGGGAAGGACTCAGCGATATGAGATATCCAAGAGCCTCTTCCACGCTAGGATGACTAAGGGGACACCGGTTCAGAATCATGTCCTAAAGATGATTGAGTGGATAGAGAAACTCAGGTCTAGGAATGGTCCTAGAGGATAACTTGTGTGTGGACATTGTGCTTCAGTCCCTACCAGATTCCTTTTCACAGTTCATAATGAATTTTAATATAAATAAGCTTGAGGTGACTCTCCTAGAGCTCCTCAATATGTTGAGGGAGGTAGAGAGTACTATTAAAAAAGAGAAGTCAGTTCTCTATATTGGTGAGACCCGAAAGAAAAGGAAAGTAGAAAGGTCCCTTAAGAAGGGAAAGGGCAAGGGTAGACCAAGTAAAGCAAAGGTTGCTAAGAAAGACCCAGCAAAGGACAAAGGCCAGTGCTTCCACTGTGGCAAAGATGGGCACTAGAAGAGGAACTGCAAAGAGTACCTTGCAGAAAAGGCGAAACAAAAGCATGATAAAGCTTCAGGTACATTCATGATCAGTCTCCATTTGTCAGACTCTTATGATAACATATAGGTATTGGATACTGGTAGTACTTATCATATATGCAATTCATTGTAAGTTCTAACAAGACCTAGGAGACTAGAGAGAGGCGAGATGGACCTCAAGATGGGTAATGGAGCAAAAGTTGCTGTAGTAGCTATTGGTGAGGTCACCCTACATCTGCTTGGTGGAGCTTTTATTGCATTAGATACATGTTATTTTGTTCCTTCTATTATCAAAAACATTATCTCCATTTCATGTTTGACAGTTAGTGGATATAAATTAGTTTTTAAGAACAATGGTTGTTCGATATTATTAGATGATAAGATCATCACGAAAGGAACATTGCATAATGGTTTATTTATGTTAGACACTACTCCACATATCATTAATGTAAATATGTCCAAGAGGAAATGAGATGAGATGAACAATGAATACCTGTGGCATTGTAGGCTAGGTCACATCCATGAAAGAATGATTCAAAAGTTGCTAAATGATGGATATCTAGATCCATTCGACTATGTGTCATATGCAACTTGTGAGCCTAGCCTTCGTGGAAAACTGACCAACTCTCCATTTAGTAGAACTGGAGAGAGAGCCACTGAGTTGTTGGAACTCATACATAGTGATGTATGTGGACCCATGTCAACTCATGCCATTGGTGGTTACTCCTACTTCATTACCTTTACTGATGATTTCTCAAGGTATGGATATGTGTACTAAATGAAGTACAAGTCCGAGGCCTTTAAGAAATTCAGAGAGTATAAGAATGAGGTAGAGAATCAGACTAGAAAGAGTATCAAAACTCTTCGATCAAATCGAGGAGGTAAGTACTTAAGTACAAAGTTTACTCAGTTCCTCAAGGACCATGGGATATTATCCCAATGGACACCTCCTTATACACCTCAGCTCAATGGTGTCTCTAAAAGGAGAAATCGTACGCTATTAGATATGGTACGGTCCATGATGAGTTTCGTTGACCTACCCATCTCATTCTGGGGATATGCCCTAGAAACCGCAGCATATCTTCTGAACAGAGTTCCAACTAAGTCGGTAGTGTCTACACCATATGAGATATGGAAAGGGAAGAAGCTTGATCTTAAGGTTGTTAAGATTTAGGGCTGCCCTGCCCACGTTAAAAGACATAACCCCGATAAGTTAGAATCAAGGACAGAGCGATGCAAATTTGTGGGATACCCCAAGGAAACTTGTGGATATTATTTCTATCATCTCGAGGACCAAAAGGTCTTTGTAGCTAAGAGAGCAGTGTTCCTTGAGAAGGAATACATTCTTGGCGGAGATAATGGGAGAATGATAGAGTTGAGCGAGGTTGGAGAACCAAACTCAAGCACCACTCTACAGCCCGAGTCTATTCAGGTACCTAATACACAAGTTTCAACTTTACGTAGGTCTGATAGAGTATCCCATCCTCCTGAGAGATATGTAGGACATATTAGAGGAGAGGATGTTGAGGATATTGATCCTCAAACCTACGAGGAGGCTATTATGAGTATAGACTCTGGGAAGTAACAAAAAGCCATGAATTTTGAGATGGATTTTATATACTCCAACAAGGTTTGAAACCTAGTTGATGCACCCGAATGTATTGTACCCATCGGTTGCAAGTGGATCTTTAAGAAAAAGATCGGAGTAGATGGAAAGGTAGAGACCTATAAAGCAAGGCTAGTGGCTAAGGGATATCGTCAACGGCAAGGTGTTGACTATAACGAAACCTTCTCACCCGTAGCAATGCTAAAATCCATCAGAATTCTATTGGCTATTGCAGCACACTATGATTATGAGATCTGACAGATGTGCTAGTCATAGGTGCCCAGCAAGCCAATCACGTGAGTGATGGCACGTGTGACTTGATACAGAATCTTTTTGCTTATTATATTTTGGTGTATATCACTTTATAACTATTGCATATATGCATATATATATTGTGAAGTCCTTGGATTTGTGCAATGGGAATTGGATTGTGATGAGATCACGATAATGAGATCGATTCACCTTTAAACACATATCCTAAATAATCCCGGTCATAGGTTACTCGAGAGGGACATCGTGATAACCGGACAGACTGGTGTACTGTATACCCGTCCATATGATGGATGCATTGTGCCCGTGTGCAAGGGTGGCCACCTGCGTGCGGGCACAAGGGCGACGCCTGCGGGTGCTGGACCCGCGAACCGAGGCACCACGGGGCGAGGCGCCTACGGCAGTAGTGCCCATGGGCTGAGGCGCCACAGGGCAATGGCGCTTGCGACCACTGCTCCTGCGAGCAAACCCCCCCCGTAGGGGTGGCCGCCCGGCGGGGCACTGCACCCGCGGGCATAGCGCTCGCGAGGGCAGCGCCACCCGCAGGGGCGCCAACCCACGGTGGCGCCCACCTACAAGGGCGGCGCCCCCGCCCTGCCACACAGCCGGCCGCCGCCAACAGGGTGGCGACACCCCCGCCCTGCCGCACAGGCCGCCGCCAGCAGGGTGGCGGCGACGACAGTAGCAAAGGGGAGTAGGGCATTAGGGTTTTCTGAAAAAATTATGAAAATACCCCTTATGAATTCAGAAATTTCCTATATATCCCTGATTTCATAAAATACTAATTAATTAAAAGGTTTAGTTGATTATTATTTTTTATCATTATCTAGTAGTCCTACATGATGATGATTATTTATACATGTGATGTATGATGTGTGGACGGACGATCATGGACCGTGTGATGTGTGTACTTGTGATTATTATTATTGAGGTCTGCGAGCCTTCATTATATTTCTCGTTTATTGCCGGGCCTGTGTGCCTATGATTAAGTTGTAATCACATGAGGAGGCATAGCGGGAGCGTGGATGTGATAGCGGGACCCACGAGACGGACGATCGCGATGCATGAAGATGCATCAAGATATCGACGGAACCGACGAGGATGAGATGGAGATGCACCGTTGTACATATAGATCTTGATGTGAGTGATTAGGCCTACTGGCTTGAGCCTAATCACATTAGGTTGTGGTCCATAACCATCTGGTGTGATTGCTTATACACATACTAGATATGTATATATATTTGCATGCAATGTAGATATATATTAAATATGTATATGTGTGACATATCATATTAGGAGACCAAATCATAGAAACATCTCTCTAGATAATATTAAGTCGGTAAATGTGAGGCAATTAGATTGACCCACGTGGCCTTCCATCGTTATAAGTAGGAATCGATTCCCGGTGTAGGTTGAGTTGGTCGAGTCCCTCGAGACTCACCTATATCGCGATTCGCTATCTTGTTACGACATAGTGATGTCACCGATGACCTGAGGACATGGTATGCTTCGTCGAGTCCCTCGAGGGTATATCATCAAATCAGACTCATCTTGTAATGAATGTGTTGACTTAACCAAGCATAATGGTTGGTCGAGTCCCTCGAGACCATGGTAATTCGAAGGCCGAACAGGACGGGAATCACAAGGAGTTATAATTGACTAGAGTTGTCTGCCTTTATGGGCTTAGAGTAATTGGTCGAGTCACTCGAGGTTACGTTAAGACGCCGATTGTCTGCCTTTACGGGCTTAGCGTAATTGGTCGAGTCACTCGAGGTTACGTTAAGACGCCGATTGGATCCTGTTCCCCACTAGAGATCTACCGGGGGTCTCCGATTCACATACCAGAGGGAGTTGTGTGATTCGTGAGAAAATAGTGGGAGTATATTAAGAAAGAAGTCCTTATCTTAATTATTTATTTTTCTATAAAATCTGCATGTTATTTATTTCTACTACATCTTTATTTTTAGAAATATGTCGTATTCAAATCCCTTACATGACATACTTGATGTCAACCGCCTCACTGGTCCAAATTATACCGAATGGCTCCACAACCTAAGAATCGTTCTCGTAGTGAAGAAAATCGTACATTTCCTTGATACAGTGATACCTACGCTCGAGCAAGCGAGGATGAGATCACTGGCTATGTGAAGTACATAGATGACTCCATTCTTGCTCAGTGTTACATGTTATGCGCCATGACTCTTGAGTTACAGAGACAGCATGAAAAGATGGATGCCAAATCCATTTTCCTGCATCTCCAAAAATTGTTTGAGGAACAAGGAAGGACTTAGCGATATGAGATATCCAAAAGTCTTTTCCTTGCCATGATGACTGAGAGGATACCAGTTTAGAACCATGTCCTTAAGATGATTGAGTGGATAAAGAAACTCATAGGT